ATGAAAATTAATTTCGGCACTATATAAGACTAATTTCGGCTGCCTAAATGCCGTAATTACCTTTTTATTAAGATGGGTAATTTAGGCACCCATGTATACACCTGAAGACTACCCGAGACAAAGTCACGAGTAGCTCTATTTGTCACGAAATCCGATAGCCGCTATTTCATGCAAGGGTATTACGGCACTTCACTTGATTGCAGGGCGAATCAAGTGATGAGCAACAATGCAACTCTGTAGCTATGACATCATGATTACAATTGAGTAAGGGTATTTATAGTTTGGATAATCTTTGATTTTATTTTGTCTTTTTGCTTTGCTGTCGCTTAACTCTGGAAATCAAAGTTTCAAAAATTTATATCTACAATAATTACCCTATTAAAATCTTTATACACAACAATAGTTCACATAACAAACAAACAAGGGCCTTTAAGTAAAAATTTTATCGCAAAGGCTTTAATACAAAATGGATGAGCCTTTTTAGCTGTGAATAGCAACATGAATCGGTGGAAGGAAATTTAAACTTGCTTACAATTGAAACTCAGAAATATACATCTTCAATAGACACAGATTTTAAAAATAGTTTGGATAGACTGACTGTCGATACTTTGAGGACACTTTGTAGTGCTATAGATTTATTGTATTCTGGATCCAAAAAAAAACTTGTTGAAAGGTTTGTTTCAAGAATGACAAACAAGATAAAAGCTAGTGATTTTAGTGATATCTTATATTCAAATTATAAGCATGACTAGTACTTCGCAAAATCCAATCCAATTTTGAATTTGAAGCAAATACTTGATCAAATTTATTAAAATTTGATCAAATATTTTGATTCAAATTCAAAATTTGATTTGATGATTTGATTTTGCAGAGTACTAAACATAACAATCAAGTTGATAAAAGACTAAAGGGAGAAAGTCATAAAAAAGGTTATAACTACTTAGACCGGTTGGATGAAATTTATAATATGGAACAAATAAGGTTTTACAAAAATTAGCAAGTAGTATTCTAAATAGCGGTATAAGTAGCAAGAGGTTGTCAGAAGCAAATAAACATATATTATTAGAAAAATATTTAAAGAAATTATTGCAACTAATAGTATTAAAGGTTTTGGAGAAAATAAAATAAAATTTATATGTAGCAGATAGTTGAAATAAAGATTGATCTTGGTTAGAAATAAATATAAACA